CTTAGGCTGCAGGCAACCAACGCAGGTGGCATCCACCACGGTCACGTCGCCGGTCGCCTCACGAAGACATTTGCCGATTGCGGTGCGCTTGTGTGCTGCTCTTTTTGTCGATCAGTCTGTGCTGCAGGGTCAGAAACGAGGCACCTGTCATCATGCAGGGCTCCAACAAGAGAGATGCCCGACCAGACGCCGGCTACCGACCAGACGCCCTCCACGCGGTCATAGACGGCGCTGGGCTCGTCGTCAACATTGTACGTGAGCTGCCGTCGCCACGCCCGTACGAAATAAATTCAGTGCATGGGCCGACAGCACGACCCCAAGCATCAGCCTGGCCCAGTGTATGTCGGCGCTCTACATGCCCATGTACGTCAACAAGGGGACATCTTGTCTCGCAGTTGGCCAGGGCACGACAGGGCGCGTACTCGCTCTTCGCAACAATAAACGCCACGCGCAGGGCGCAGGGCACAAGGCGCAATGCGCAACGGACACAAGGCGCTACGGGCACAAGGCGCAACGTGCAAGTTGAGACTGTCTTGAAGCTCCCACTACCCACAATTGGCCCCAGCTAAACTCGCGGTCCAAAAGAGGCAATCGTCTGCAAGGGTCGCCCTGCAACGGGCAAGGCACAGCGCGCACCCTGCTCTTGCCAGCAGCGCCGCTATCGCGATGGTCTTCCACAAGGAAGACAAGCCCCTAATGACCGAGGCCGTGCCCCCAGGCCTCGCCTTGCTCTCGGTCGACCATATAGAGACAGAACCACACAGAGAGAGACAGAGAGAGAAGAGAGAGAAGAGAGAGAGAATCAATTCGAATTCAAAGCTTTCAAAACATCAAGCAGCTTTTGACTGTCGGGCGCTGCTGTGGCTTCCCCTCTCACACAATGCTCCATCGACTCGATCAGGCTCGGCAGCTCCTTAAGCGCGTGCTCCTCGTGCACCGTCGGATGCGCCGCCCTGTTACCATCGCTGCGCACACTATTCAATGCATTGAAAAAGTCGTCCAAATTACCCAGTCGTGGGAGCACGTCAGCATACGCTTGGACTGCCCACTCCTGAAGGCCCGGCTTCCACTTGTAAAACAAGGTGTGGAAATCTTCTGTGTCTGCTGGACACCCCTTCTGCGGAACACGACCTCGGAAGCCATCGTCTTGCGCCACCTGTGCGGTGGCCCAGTCCATGTACTTGAACAGCAGACGAAGCCGGTGGATGTCATCGTCACACGGCCATGAACAAGAGTCACTCGGCCAAAAGCGCTCGCCCACGATTGTGGCGAGCTTGATGATGATTTGGCGCTTCAAGATGGGATACTTCAGCGTTTGCCGGATCGTTTGAAGCTCCGCCTGCACCTCCTTGTTGACGGCTTGTTGTTCCTTGAGCTCGTCCCGCACCTCCTCGATCTGTCGCGCGTGTTTGGTTTCCATTTCTTGCAACTTACCGAGCATCTCGGCTCGAAAGGCAGCAGCAAACGGAAACTTGTCCAGCTCGCCTTCAATCAAATTCAGGCGATTCTCAGACCCGTCCATTTGAGCAAGGGCCTCTTTGACCTTGGACATTCTGCTCCAAGCATTCGTGTCACCGCTGGCGTCTGTCAAGGCGTGTTTAACACCAGACAACACCTGGTGCTCATTCCTCGGCTTCGAGCGCACGTTCTCGGATTTATTCTTGTAGGGCTCGTAGAGCGCGTGCTGCTTCTCCTCCAGCTCGCTACACTTGGCATCTACAACAAAGGCACGATCGGTGAGGTCTGCCCGCTAAATGGCCCGTGCTGCAGATACAAAGCCATTCAACTTACCAAGGTCGCGACACTTGACGAGGTGGGGAGTAACATCCCACCAAGTCATGTTGTTGGTCCGAGGACACCACCACGGCTCACATACACACCAGGGGCGGCTCGAACCCTAACCCTAACCCGAGGGCGATGGGTAGCTGTCAAGCTGACAACGACAACAAAAGTGGGGGAGCGGGGGCAAAGGCGGGGAAAGCCTCGGGAAATGGCAGACCGTGCCGTCGCCTTGCAAGGATGATATCACAGCACGGTCAATCACAAATTAGGCAGCGTCCTCTCGATGAAGCAATAAAGCGATCGAGCGATGGAGTAATGAAGCGATGAAGT